TTTTGTTATTTGCGCCCAGACAAAATGACTTTTGTTGTTGTTGTTGTTATTGTTTTTATTACTTTTGCTACTCCTTTTACTCTTTTCAGGCTTTGGTAATTTTCTATTATTAGTAACAAATTCTTTCATTTCTCTTTCCTTGAGAAAATCTTGATATAGCTTTCTTTGATGTGGAGTGAGTTTACAGAAAAGCACTTGATCAGTTTGTTTAGGACGTTGTACTGCAGTCTCGGCTTTGGTACGACGCAACAAATAAGGTTCAACAAAATCGGCCATTATTCTAGCACAATAATAAGCTGTCTGTACCTCATATTCATTTGCATGTCGATATCCACCTACGATCACCTTATTCGCGAGATGCTCCTCAAATACAGGTAATGTGCCGAATTTTCCCGGCGCCACAAAGTCCATTAGACTCCACAGTTCTCTATAGTTATTCTGAATAGGCGTTCCCGAAAGAATGATCCTATGGGTGCTCTTAAATTCTTTTACCGTTAAAGTCACTTCTGCATCAGGATTACGTATTTTATGACCTTCATCAAGCACCACGTATTCCCAAAAACAGCTCAGTAATAATCCACGAAATTTCTTTACTGACTCATATGTAGTAATTATAACATGACCTGGACCTTTTTTAGTAAATGTCTTTACGAGTTTGGCTGCGCCACCATCTTCTTCACTATGGGATGAAACGGCGCTACCAGTTGAATGAAGAACTCCCACCCTTATTGGTGGCCACCAATTATGGATCTCTTTCACCCATTGAAACATGAGAGTTGCCGGACAGATTATTATCGTTGCCTGCTGTGATCGATTCGAATAAAAGAGACTGGCTAGGAAAGCAATCATTTGAATAGTTTTTCCAAGTCCCATTTCATCCCCTAATATTCCACCTTCGTTACTTTTATGTCGTTTCCAGAACCATTCAACCCCTAATTTCTGATAATTAAAAAGTTTATGATAAATTTCCCCGGGTATTTCGAGGGTATTGTCTATGATAGCATCCTCATATTTTGGATGTGGCAGAAAAATTTCTGAAGCAATGATATCCAGCTCATTCTCTTTCGTGATTTTTGTTGAATTTTGCGCATCTCTGAGACGGCGACGAGCTAGTGCCCACTTTCTCAAACGTGATTTGTAGACCGAAATTTCACCGTCATCTACACCGAGATCACCCTCATCCGATATGTCATCCTCATCCTCGTACTTATCTGATTCCGAACTTTCATGGTAAACAGAAACTTCATCATCGTCCACATAAAGATCATCATCATCTGATATACCCTCCTCCTCTTCTTCCTCATTGTCATCCTCATACATATCATAGTCGGAATTCTCTTGAATCGCGTCAGAAGCCTTTCTCTTTCCTTTCGACTTATGAAAGTTTCTACTTGTTTGGTCATTATCACTATCTTCCGATTTGATTTGGTCTTGCAACTCTTCAATTCGAGTGCTCTTCGGCAAGTGAAGCTTTACCAAAAACTGCGTTTCTTTTGATTTCTCGGATGAAAGTGGAGGTTCACTGTGTCCTTCGACAATACTTGTCATTTCACTGTCAGCTAGGGGGAAATTTTCGGCAGGTATCTCTTTGGTATCCTCGAGATTCTGATTGAAAATTTGGTCTACCCCTCCATTAGTAAATTTTAATAATTGCATATCTGACGGCGTGCTAGCGCTTATGACTTCGTTCGCCTCGTTTTCTTGTATATTTAATGTGTTTGTGTTTGGAATAAGTTCAGCCATTGGGAATTGATTGATGCATATAAAAAAGAGTGTTGATAATTTTGATCTAGAAGACAAATGGGGGAGCTGCGCGTCAATGATTTTACGTAGTATGTTCATTTATTTTCATGATCGTTTGAGTGTAACTCTGCAATAGAGATCGATTACATAACGAAAATTGAATTTCCAATTCATATTTCACTTTCATTTTAATTATGGCTATCCCAAAACTGGAATTTGACGCTGCGGAAGAGAAATTACCTTCTTTGTTCTCGGTAACAGAACAAATAGAGGATGATTTGAAAGCCGAAGAAGCTCAATTAGCCAAAGACCCAGAATTACTAAAGGCACTTACCGATCAATATCAAAAAATAATGGAAGATGCTTCAGAATCGTTAGCTCTCAAGATAGATCCAACCCCGGGTTACGTAATTAAAACTCATCTCTTGGAAGGAACAACGGCATCTCACCCAGCTGGCGTAAAATTACTCATTAATGTCGCTCATTCCGAAAAGGTGCCCGAGCCTTCGCCTGCCACCGAACAAGAAATTCAACGAGCTATGAAGGCTGTAGAAGGCGCTAGTTATCCGGTGCCTTTTGTGGTCGGGAATTTAAGGGAAGACGTTGATAAAGGTTTGTTAATTTATACGAATTCTTTTCCTCGGAAGAATGTTGTATAGTAAGTAAACTCATTGTCTAGAATTGACACGAAGGCGCCAACCTTTGTCTTGTTTGTGATGCTGTGTTGAATACAAAGGTATATGAAAAGACCATAGAAAATTACGATTTTAAGCTTTTTATCGCCGAGCATGCGATGGAACACATTGAAGACAAGCATAATCTTAAATTGAATCGAGGTTTGTAAAGAAATTTAATGTTCAATTAAAATGGAATTTTGAAATAAGCTAACTATTAGAAAAAATAAATTCCTAGATATTGTGTTTCCAAAATTGCGATGTAAGGGTAAATTAGAAGTCATTAATTTGCCCGTAACTAGAAAACAACAATCACCCATTATAACGGAAGTGTCTCTTCCGGCCGCTGTTGCCAAGAATAAAGCAACAAAAGAGACACCATCACCCCGCTTACCATTAGATCAAATACAAAATCCACAACAATCATTGGCAGTCCCTATTATTAAGCCAAAATATTCAATCACTGAAGAAAAAACCAGCGAAAAAAATTACATGAAAATTTTAATTGATGTTCCAAACCTGGTATACATTCACTCAATTTCTTTTTTGCATATTGAATGACTGTGATGATGGTTCTATTATTATCTTGCGATGAGAGTCCTCAAATTTCATCATCTTTTTAAACAACAAGGAAACAACAAACTCGTCAACTTTGGATATAGAACCATCGCGCTTGATATTCTATGCTCCGCAACATTACCAATTAGACATCGATCTACCAGGTTCTATTGATATTGAAACAGCAAACGCACGATTTGTGAGGCCAAAAAAGAAGATCGTGGTGAAAGCTGAGAAAAAATAGATTTCTTTTTCCTCCTGGAAGTTATGTAAATTTTCTGAATCTTTAATTTACTAATAATATTAATAATTCTTGATATACAAGAAAAAATGGCGTGAAATATAATATATATTATACATAATAGGTTTCCCATAAATCATATATAAATATAGATGTATCAATCTTAATTTTATATATGTAATGATTTGAATAATGGGATAATTGAAGATTATGCTGGGAATTAACAAGCAAAGTCTAGTCACAAAAGCCTTAAGTATAAAGCAAATCAAAATAAATAAATAATGATAATTAGTATAGCAGTCGAAAACAACTATAATTAAAAATACGAAATAAAAAGTTACGAGATCAAAAATTAATGAATAAAGGATATTAGTGTTCTTGGTAAAGTGTCCCATTTTATAATAAAGAATAAATGCTAATAAGAATTAAGAAATTATAGTGGAAGTAAAATGTATGAAACCAAAAAGCCGAAGAATGCGATGCAGGTTCCTAGATGTCGACGTCGTGAGTCAAGTTCACTAATTCTTTGACTGTTATATTATTATTATATGGTAATAGCCATCGTAGATATTATTTTAAACCACGTAATCCCACGAGACAATTTTTTTTCTTTGTCAATAATGTCACAGGATTGTGCATTGACACCTTGGTGCATTCTCTGCCGATTTAGGATCTTAAATCAATATTAATTAATAGTATTAATTATACATTTGTGATATAATCAGAAAAAGAAATTTTATCTATTGCTTACCTTCTGAATCCGAAGATACTGTGTTTTTAATTGTCAAATGGGCAATTGTAGTTTGCCCGGCATATATTTTATTTGCTAAATTAAATTACAGTTCAATATGTGCGTGCGAGTGTGTGCATGTTGAATAAGGTGAGGCGCACCATCAATAAAGAATATATTCTTACTTTCAAGAGTTGACACATCTTCTAGAAATCGACCAAGATAAACTATTTTTAGGTTTGTAGCTGCTGCTGGAATTTCGTCAGACCACTCTTAGTTTATGCAGAGAAAAATTAAGATATTGAGTGAATTATGTGTTTTTCTTGTTATGAAATAATAGGATGATATAATCATAGCAGTAATAATAAAAAAATTAGCCAAACGAAAATCGAACCAATTCGATAATGAATAGATAAATAAATAAGTAAAGAAAATAAATTAGTTTAAACTAAATATAAATTTACCTTTAGGCCACTCCTCGAAAACACGTTTCTTCACATTTCCTATTGTATCATTAGGTTCAAACTCGAATGTGTGTCGTTTTCCGGAAACTAATAGCAATGTAAGTCTAACTTCTGAAAATTTTTCTTCCGGAGCAGCCGACGATGTAGAATCTCTTCCTGATATTTGAGGAGTGGAGAAAGACGCTGTTGATTCCCCACCGCCAACTACTGTTGTTGCTGACCCATGTGTTAATGTGGTCGTGGTAGTGGTAATGGTGGTTGTATCTCCCGCTGAGGAGTTTAGCACACTCGCACTACTATCAATTGATTGACTTTTGGTATTCTCATTCATAACTATGTTCGCAGAGTCGAAAATTATCAAATACCAAAAAGATACCGATATCTTTATTTGTATTTTGTATCCCCCAAGATAGTACCAATATTTTAGAAAAAAAGTCCGAGATATTGTGATATAAAAAGAATGAATAAATGTGGTGGTGTTTCTCTTTTGTTATGTTAAATTTCTACATCTAATTAGTGTATGAAACTTTTCTACGTGCTTATTTATATTGCATTTTAGGCCCATGGTAACATTATTTTGGAAATGTATAAATCATGACTTAGAAGTTGGTGTGACAGCGAAAATGGTCTAATCAGTAATCGAATAATTACTAATCAACACGTATAATACGTATAATTGATATTTATTATCAAAATATTTATTGGAAATTCGAGTAGTATAATTAATATTTTGTGCTTATTATAAAATTTTTTTTGGGATTGTATTATATCAATATATCCAGATTTAACTATATATTGGTGTCATAAATATCTTTTATTCTTATATTTAAGATATTCATATAATTTTTTCATTTATCAAAGATATCGTAAAATTTTTAAAATAAATATTTATTGAAAATTTATTATTAATAAATACAATCATATTGCTTTATAAGAATATAGAAAATCTGATTATTATAAAGAGATTATTCTAATAAAAGATTATTTTAATATATATATATATATTAATTGATATAAAGAGATTATTCTTATATAGAATATTCTTAAAATATTATTTTGATCAAGTTTAATATAGTAGTGATTAAAAGTATTCAATCTCCTATAACTTTTAGATTAAAAATTAATTATTTTGAACTTTTCAGTATAGATAGAATAATATAATTCTAGATTTTATAAAATAATTTTTTAATTATTATAATAAAATTTAAATGAGAACTGAATTTTAAAATTAATTTTTTACATAATTAAAAAAATATTAATCAAATATAATAAAAAATAATTATATTAATAAGTTTTAAATTAAAAATTTAAATTTAATATATTAAAATTTAAGTATTTTTATATTAATAACAAAAAATTTAATATAATTTAATAAGATAATTATTAAGAATTAAATTTTAAATTTATTAAATTTTATTATATATATAAAAATAATTAATATCAAAATTTAAAATTTAATTTTTTAACAAAATTATACTAAATTTTTTGTTAATAATATAAATTAATATAATAATTTTAATTATTTCAAAAGATTTAAAACAAAATATTTTTAATATAAAAAGTTATAAGAAATTAGATATTTTTTATTGTTATTATAATAGATATTTATTATAATAACAAAAAATTAATATTTATTAAAATATAAAATATTTTAAAAATTAAAATTTTTTAATTTTTTAATAATACTTTTTAATTTTTATAATAATAAAATTTTTATTTCAGAAATATTATTTGATATTATTTTTAATTTTATTAAAAAATAAACTTAATTAATTATTTTGTTAATTATAATGAATAAATATATATAAAATAAATAAATAATTTATAAAAAAATAAAAAAAATATTAATTTATTAATAAAAATAAAATTTTCTTTTTATATTAAAATTTATACTTTTATTAATAAATAAATATTTATTTTATATTAAAATAAAGTATTTAATTTATAATTTAATATATTTTTTAGATTTTAAATTTAAATTATTATGAAATTATAATTATATTAAAATTTTTAATTAAAAAATTTAATAATTTTATAATTAAAACTTTATTAAAAATTCAAAAAAATAAATTATAAATATTATCTTAATATAAAATATTTATTAATAAATTTATAATTTTTATAATTTTTATTATATTTAATAATTTAATAAAATAAAATAATTTTTATTATATTTTATTAAATAAATTTGTAAGATTATTTTGTTAATAATTATAAATAAGATAAAATATAATATGAATAGTTTTAATTTTATAACTTATAATTATTTTTATTATTTAAAAGTATTCAGATCTGAGGTAAAAGTACAGAACAGAGAGATTATATTTATAAAAAAAGAAATAAATACAAAATATAAATAAATTAATAATAATTTCTAATTAAAAAATATATATATTAAATATAATTAATTAACTTAATTTGCATCTCCAGAGGACAACTAATCATAATTTAATAATTAATAATGATTTAAATAATAATATAAATATAATAAGAAGAAGAATAAATAAAATTATAAAAAAATATTAATAATCTAAATTAATAATTATGATATATATGGTGATTATCTAAGTAATAATGTGTTAAATCTAGATATATTAAATATATAATAATTATCTGTATATTCAGAATGAAATTAATTTTCTTAAAAATATAATACAAAGCTAATCTGTTATATAAATAATGCAAAATAAAAATCTAAACTAAAAAAAATCTAATGGAAGATAACCCAATCAAAATTATTATATAGAATATTCTATTATATTAAAAAAATTAATATGTATTTCTTAAATTTAGTATAATTATATACTGTAAGTTTCTAATATTATTATAAGATATAAAAGAAATTAATTATTTAAGTACTTTATTAATTTTTTCTAGTATTATATTATGATCTTGATATTAATTTGAAAGTTTAAATCAGAAAGTTATAATTCTTTCTTAAATCAGATTATAAATTTTAGACTTTAATTATAATTTTTATTTTTTATCAGTAATTTTAATTAATTAGTAAATTAAATAATATCAAGTAAATTAAATATTCATTTAGTTATAAGTTTTAATAAAAATTTATTGAAATAAATTTTAATATGAAAATTAATAATTACTTATAAATAAAAAAAGATTTATTTATACTTTAATCTAAATATAAGATCAATTTAATTTTAAATCTAGTTTAAATAATCTTTGATAAAAGAACTTTTCTTAAAAATAATATATAATTATATTAATTTGGAAGCTATTATATATCTATATATATTATATATTAAATTTTATAACTTATAATAATCAAAATATTTTTTAAAAAATTATAGTTAATTCTTAGTTTAATAATTTTAATATTAAGCAAAATATTTTATATTAATCTTTTAATTTAATTTAACAAATACTTTTAATATATTTATTTCTTTATAAAGAGTATTCAGAATTAATATAAGTTAAGAAAAGTCTTTTTTGATTATTTATATATAATAATAGAATACTTTATTATAGATTATTATAATCTATTTATAATTGTTATTTTTAATGTTAGATAATTTTTTAATATACTTAAAAATTTTTTGAATATTAATAATTAAGTTTGAATTTATTACTATTAAATTAGAAATATATACTTATAATATATAAATCTTATTCTTTGAATATAATTATGTATTTTTTAAATATATAAGAATAAGTAATAAATTTTTTAGTAGTATTTATAATATTAATTAATTTATTATATTTTGATAATTATTAGTAATTTACTATAATATATAGAAAAACTTATTTTTTATTATTAATATTAGATAATTGACAAGCAGAATATTTTTTTATAAATTTAATCTGACTTTAATAACATATTAATTTATTAATTATATTTTTTCTTGATCTTTCTCTACATAAAGCTCTTCTAGAATAGTAATAAAATAATTAGTAAATTCTTTATAAATTTTATATCTAAATTTAAAAAAAAATAATTTTTTATATTTTTTTATAAAAAGTTTAGAATATAATCAAGGATTTATATTTTAAATATTATTACTTTAATTATAATTAAAGATAATAAAACTTATAATAGTATAGAATATAATTATATTATATTCATAATTCAAATAATTTTTTTGATCTTTTTATTCATTATCAAAAACTAAAAATAAAAGACTCTTGAAAAATTATAACTATTCTATAGCCAAACTTTCTAATCAGTTAGTAAATATTTTATAATAATTGAAATTCATAATATAATTATTAATATTAATAATTATTCTTAATCTTGCTAATAAATATTTAATTATTAAAGTAATTAAATTAATAATAGAAATATATTTTATATATCTTGATTTATATATGATATTGATTATTATATTATACTTAAATAGTTTCTCTTCTTTATTTTGATATTCATTTTTATTATAATTAAGAATTTTAATAAATTTTACAATAACTAAATTTTATTTTGCAAGCTATTTTGAAGAAGAATATTTTAAAAGATTATCTAAATTAAATTATTTATAATTTTTTATTATACTTATTATATTATTATATAAATTATTTTATTCTCTCTTGATAATTTTTATTATAGATTTAATATAATCTTATTAATCATTAAATACTTTATTTAATTATTTTTTTAATAATATATTCTTAGATAATAATTATTAATTAATATTTTCTAGTTCTTATATTTATTTTATAAAAATTTTATATATTGAATTTGTAACAATTTTGATTGGATTATCTTTCTTTAGATCTTTTTTAGTTTAGATCTTCATTTTGCGCTATCTGTATAACAGATTAGCTTTGTATTACATTTTTAAGAAGATCATTTT